CGGGCTGACAGAATCACTGTGCTTTTCTAGGCTTCAATTCTGTAAACCAGCAAAAGTCCTTCAGAGAAAATGTTATCAATAAGTCAAATGAAAAGTGGTCACAAAAATCTTATCTCCTTAATTTTATCTCCTTTAAGATGTAAAGTATGTATGTGCACTGATATACATCATAATTCTAAGGGATTTGCTCCATAAAATGGAGTTGTGGACCGTTTTTATATTCTTCCAGGTTTTTTTTCAGTAACTAGGGGTTTTTTTGCAACTCTAGAAACATTACTATAGAACAACTTTGTTCCTCTTTTGCTAACAATGGGTTCTCCCCTCCCTAGCATTACAAAATCAAATTCTCAAATGTTTTGTGTGACACAAACAAAATAATTTAAATATTTTTCTTGGTATATAAAATACACATAGAAAAATTACACCCCACAACCTACTGACCGTCCACACATGATGCACACCTATTGCAGCCAGGAATGAGTACATTGCCAGGACCACAGAAACCTGTCTAGTGCTTTCTTCTGAATACTGCTTCACCTCAGGGATGAGCACAATCCCCACTTGTATCACTATACTGCAGTTTTATCTTTCAAATTTTATATAAGTGAAATAATACAGTATGCATGCTTTGGGTTTTTTTCACTAATATTTGTGGAATTCATTTAAGTTCCTCATATAATGGCAAGCCATTCATTCTCACTGTGTATAAAATTACTGGTGTGAATCCATGATTTATACTTTTAAACAATTTTTTTTGTGGGGGTACCAGGGATCGAACTCAGGACCTTGCACTTTCTGGGCAGGCGCTTGTGCCGCTGAGCTATATCCCCAACCCTCATGGTTTATTTCTTTATCTAGCTATTAATGGGCAGTGTTGGTCTGCTCAGGAAGCCCAAAGGAGATCTTCGCAGATGACATCCCCAGATTAAAGAATGCACATGTGCAAGACATCAGCAACAGCAGGCATCATGGAAGAGCAGTGGACAGGTGCACAACAGCAGTCTGCATCTTGACTGTATAATTCTTATACAGGTTGTTATCACATTTACATTCTTATATAGTACTGTAGCCAGCACATGCATGTTTACCTGTGCTGTCATGGTTACATAACTGTATCCTGCTCTGTACTTGCACTAGACAGCAGGGTCAAGTCCTCATGTATCCTTAAGATACCCCTGAGCTTTGAAGCAGTCTGAGTGGTTCCTCACGGGGAGTTTTCAGCTGGGCTGTTATGATTAATGCTGTTATTAACAGTTTCTTGATAAACATGTTTGCACTTGTTAGACCCAAAATTGTAGGATTACTGGGTGACAAACAGTTTTAAAAATTTCTCTGAGCTGGGTGTGTGGTGGCACACACCTGTAATCCAAGCACTTAGGAGGCTGAGGCAGGAGGATCACCTTGAGTTTGAGCCCAGCCTGGTCTACACAGTGAGTTCAAGGCCAGCCTGAACTACATATTGAGATCCTGTCTCAAAAACGTTTTCCCCTCTGAACTCAGGAGGCCCAACCAATATTGCCCTCATATGTAATTTACATGGTGCATGTTTACATATGTCCTTGCCAAGGCACTCATTTTATCGTTCTCTGAGCCTGGCAAATGTTCTACAAGACAGCAACTTTTCCCCCCTTGGGTTCTTGCAGTGTCTAGGAAGTGGTATCAGTCTCAGATGTTATTAAGAAGTTATTTTTTGTTTATAATTGTTGATTAATCAATACTGGGGACTGAACATAAAAGCACTCTACCACCGAGCTACATTCCCAGCCCTCTCTATTTTTTTGAGATAGGGTCTCACTAAGTTACCCAGGCTGGCCTCCAACTGGGGATCCTCCTGCCGCTGCTTCCTGAGTGGCTGCATTACAAGCATGCCACCATGCTCAGTTAACAAGTTGTTCTTGACAAGGACTGAATTTATCGGCTAAGACAATCTAAAGCAGGTGTTCTACATGAAAATTTCCCATTGTTCCACAACTTGTTCTTCTGAAACACTATTCTCTTGTCGGAGAAAACAGATGATTCCCTGGAGAACCTGCACCTGTTGCGCCTCCCAAAGGTCAGACACATGAGCTGAGAACTGTAATTGCAGCAAAACCGCTCTCCTAAAGGGTATTTTGGAGATGGGATCTCTCCTAGGAACAGGTAATAGAAACTGAGTCCTGCTGGGTGTGGTGGCGCATGCCTGTAATCCCAGCATTCGGGAGGCTGAGGCAGGCAGATCGTTGCGAGTTCGAGACCAGCCTGGGCTACAAAGTGAGTTTAAGGTCAGCCTGAACTGCATAGCGAGACCCTGTCTCAAAAAAAAAAAAAAAAAAAGAAACTGAGTCTCAGAATCTGTAGTCATCTGATAGGTTTTTAATATGTGCATAAAACCACAAACATATTTGTTTCCCAACATATTATGACATCTCAGAGCAAGGACAAGCTCATACCCATCTAGAGATTGCCAGCACCTAACACATGTAGGCATCACAGAGGCTCAACAAATGTTAAAATGCATACTGAGTGTTCAAAATGGATGGAAGGATTGCACCACTGGCCAAAAGCACAGGTACTTATTTAGTACAGTAAATTATCAAAAAAGAATTCTATGGTGAATGTGATCATTACACATATCTAAAATGTGCCAATAAAACCTAATGAAAAAAATCTTTCTTAGTGAAACTAAACTGATAACGTACATCTATTATTATGGCTAAACCAACCTCATGCCAGGGATAGTTCTACAGCAGTGACAATAGGGTGAAACATGACGACATGGAAAATACTGCAGTGTAGGAACGAGCGTGAGTTTATCCCTGACCAGTGGGCGAACGGAGATTGAAGACAAGACACAAAGGTAATTCTGAAAGAGGGGCCAGGGGTTCTTGCCTCTAGTGGACAAAGAGCCCTGAGCATTTGTTGAACTTCACTTGTATTACTTAGACATGAGGACAAGCAATTAGGGAAGCAGAAGAGTCATCTGTGTCCTGTTACCTGTAGTATATGCCCAGGTAAACAACTGGATCTCAGCTGTGTCCACTGGTCCCTGAAATTTGTAATCTGCAAGCATGCCTGCACGTTGCCAGGAGCACAGCTGGCTGTTTTTCTCCTTTGTGTTTGCAGAGAAGGTCAATTAGGCATCGATCCTCGTTACTGGTCTCCTGCACTCCATGACTTACTAGCTTAAAAAACTGCAAACAATTTTATAATACTTTGTTTGAAAAAGGTAAAAGCTAAAAGTTTGTAGAGAAGCACGTGTGTGTGTACACCGAGAAAATGCTTAGAGGGTTTCATACCACACGGTTAACAGCGGTTACCTCCAGAGGGATGAGAGGGTGTGGCTTGTGTTAAAGGAATTTTGGTCAATCTAGGATAATTTTTCCCCCAAGATTACTTTTATGTACTGTTTGTGCAATTAAATCGTGTTAACCTTTTGTTTGTTTGGTTGGTTGGTTTTTTTGAGACAGGGTCTTGCTATGTAGCTCAGGCTGGCCTTGAACTTGCAGCAATTCTCTGCCTCAGCCTCCTTCCCAAGTGCTGGGATTACAGGAGTGCTCCCCCACATCGGGCTATGTTAACATTTTCAGTGAATTTTTCTTTATTTCTACCAATTTTTCTATTACCTGAACACAACTATTATTTATTTTATTTTTGGCAGTGCTGGGGATTGAAAAAGCCTCACCCTATAAAGCACTCTAATACAGCTACACCTGCAGCCCTGAACTAGTCTTAAAAGGAAGCACCACAGGCCAGGTCTCCCCAGGTATAGACACCCGACTACTCTTTCTCCACATAAGGAACATGAAAAACGTAGAGACTGGAACAAATGAAGTTTCTTAGACAAGCTCAGGCTTGATAAAGCGCGGGTAGTGACTTCTGCGGAGACTAGGTATCAATTTAGGGGAAAACGCGGCTGATTTTCATCCACGCTGAAGTTCACTTTCTTTTTTTTTTTTGGTTTTTTTTTCCGGTACCGGGAACCGAACTCAAGACCTTGCGCTTGCCAGGCAGGCGCTTTTGCCGCTGAGCTAAATCCCCAGCCCCTGAAGTTAACTTTCCAAGGACCCAACAGCAACGGAAAAGGGAATACCAAAGAGTGTGATGCTTTAATCCTACGATGCAAGCAATTAAAGACAAGAGAAAGTGTACGAGATTAATGGAACAGAAATACAGTACAAACAACGTGATACATATACGATTAACCAATTACACAGCTTCACAAAAACTGTACAACTATCTTTTGCGAACAACGCTTTACAGTTTGGAATATTCCTGCCCATACAAAAGAGCCTCGGAGTCCAGCCGGAATCCGCCACTCATGCATCGCTTATCTGCTATCCAGCAGTGAACAACTTTTTTCTGCGGCTTAAAGTTTCCCCCAGAAAAGAGGGGTTGGGGTGACTGAGCTCGGAGCGCAGCCGCTGTCTGATGTCAACCCAAAGCCTCGTGCAGTTCAATACCAACCGGCCAGCGAGCGCCTATTCGCTGGCTGCGGCGGGGCCGCCGGCCACAGCTTTCCTCCGCCCGGGGTCCCCGGGGGACCGGAAGGAGACGGGCAGGTGCGGGACTGACCGTGTGCACTACTCGTTTCAGGTGCGCGGCTCTCCTGGGCGCCCGCAGCGACGCGGCGAGGCCGGAAAACACCTCGCGGGAGCCCGGAGCCGACGCCAAAGAGGAGGAAGCGGAACGCGCCGGGCCGTGACGTGGCCCAATCGCCAATGCGTACCGGCGGTTCCGCCACGAGCGGTGGACTAGCCCCTCGGCCGGCTCGGGGGCGGGCCCAAGACGTGGCCCAATGGGGGCGCGCGCCGGCGCGGTGGGGGCGGGGCCAGGCGCGCGGCGCTGGGCTGGGCGGTGGAGGCGCCAATGAGCGCGCGCCGCGTCCGGGGCCGGCCGGAGCAAGAGACGCCGCTGAGAGGTTGGTGGCTAATGTAACAGTTTGTAACCGAGGGGAGTTGTGAAGGGCGCGAGCTGGGGGGCGCGCTGCCGGCCGCGTGGGTAGGTCTGCGCCGCGTTGTCCCTTTACGGGGGCTGCAGGGGCCGACGCCAGAGGGGTCGGGCAGGGCCCAGCCACCGCTCCTAGGGGAGGCGGCGTGCTAAACGGGGGCGGGTCGGAGCGGGAGTGAGGCCCGCACGGACGCCGGTGCGTTGGGCCCCGCGCCTCGCGCACTGGGCATCCCCGCGCGCCGAGCTGCGCTGGGATCCGCTCTGCTGCCTGGATCAGGTGAGGCTTCGGTGAACGCTGAGCGCCCGATACCAGCCCGGCGGGTAACCTCATCGCTCCGAGTCCTGCGTCTCCGTGGGGAGCGGGGTCGGCGAGTGGGATGGGGAAGGGGGTGGGCGGGGTAGCCCGCGGGATGCAGAGGAGGGGGCCGGCCCCTCTCCCATCCCGCCACTCCCAGCGTCATCACCTCTCAGTTCCCGTTCAGGCCCAGCCCGGCTTTCCTCGCCGCCTGGGGAGCTGCAGGTGTGAGGAGTTGATGGAGTCGGCGCAGGGATCCCCGGCCCCATCCTGTGTGTCTGATGGATGGAAGGCCCGAGTCTCCTTTCTCCTTTCCTATTAACTTCTCTGGTTAGGGATGTGGTGGAGCCGAGGACTCTTGTTCTTTAGTTTGGGCCTTTCCCTGGACATTTCTGGGGATGCTTAGAGTGGTTGGAATTCATCAGGACGGAGGGAGGCGGTATAGGCTGCAAAAGGCAGTAGGTGTGAACCTTACAGCTTGTCAGTGCTGGGATGTGGTTCTGCCTCCTTCATGCTGGGCATCCAGTTACAAGTGTCGCTTCCCTCCCCTAGGGGCACAATGGCAGCCACAGTCAGAAGGCAGAGGCTGAGGAAGCTTGGCTGTTGGGCCTTGATGGCTATCATCTTGGCAGACCTGTTGGCACTGAGTGGTATGTACCCGGCAGAGGATCAAAAGAATAAATGAGTGGTGGGGAGGGACGTAAGGCTTCTTGTTAAAAATCTCTTAAGAGTTGCTGGAGCAAGGCTTTGTTTTCCTTAGTCTTTGTTCTTTTGCTACCAGAAGTGATATGGTTTAGATAGAGAGCCCTGAAGAGTGAGTGCTTATTGACAATCCTGTTTTCCCTTTAGACACGCTGGCGGTGATGTCTGTGGACCTGGGCAGTGAGTCCATGAAGGTGGCCATCGTCAAACCTGGAGTTCCCATGGAGATTGTGTTGAACAAGTAAGGGTGGCCCTGGTGCTTGGGGTGGGCAGTGGGGGAGTCCGGGCCCCAAGCAGGTGTGTGTTCCTCATAGCACCCAGCAGACTTTAGTGTCTGAGTGATTAGTTGCCTAGTGGGGCAGCTCCTGGGTCACACCTGGGTCTCTTTTCCTCAGAGAGTCTCGGAGAAAAACCCCAGTGACTGTGACCCTGAAAGAAAACGAAAGATTCTTTGGAGACAGTGCAGCTGGCATGGTGAGCAGCAGCCCCCTTCCCAGAGTGGCAGACCCAGGTTGTTCCCTCATGTCTGTCTCTGTGATGTTAGTGACAGTCATGCTGAGCCTGAGCATTAACACTGCTCACATCTTCCTCTGGCAGGCCATCAAGAACCCAAAGGCTACACTGCGCTACTTCCAGAATCTCCTAGGAAAGCAGGCAGATAATCCTCACGTGGCCCTTTATCGTGCTCGTTTCCCTGAGCATGAGCTAAACTTCGATCCTCAGAGGCAGACGGTGCACTTCCAGATTGGCCCGTGAGTGTTCTGTTGGGAAGGGCAGGCCCATCAGCCCCTTTGGGCTCCTCATTGGCATGCATTGATGATTGCCCTACCTTAGTTTTTGGCTTTCCCACCCAATAACCATCTGTATTCCCCACAGGCAACTGCAGTTCTCACCTGAAGAAGTGCTGGGCATGATTCTCAATTACTCGCGTTCCCTGGCTGAAGATTTTGCAGGTAAGTGGCAAGGTGGGAACCACTGGCAGCCAAGCTACCTCATGATCTATAGCAGCAATTGTCAAAGCGGGATAGTTTTTCCTCCTAGGAAACATTTGACACTGTCTGAAAACATACTTGGTTAATACACTTATGGATATGTTACTGGGTATCTAGCAGATAGGAGCTGGGAGACCTCTGAGTGTCCTGCATTGTACAAGACAGCCCTTCCCAGCAACAGAACTGTCTGGTTCAGAATGTAAGTAGTGACTAAGTTAGAAATGATCATCTGGGGTATTGGTGCTGAACCTACAGCACATGTGCTGAAGCAGGCTGTTTAGATCATTAAAAGCTCTGAAAGGTTCACTATTGCTGGTCAAAGGTGTGGAGCTGGTGGGATCCTGTTCTCTTGTCCTCTGTAGAGCAGCCCATCAAGGATGCTGTGATCACCGTGCCAGCCTTCTTTAACCAGGCTGAGCGCCGGGCTGTGCTGCAGGCTGCTCGAATGGCAGGCCTCAAAGTGCTGCAGCTCATCAATGACAACACTGCCACTGCTCTCAGCTATGGTGTCTTCCGCCGGAAAGATATCAACACTACTGCACAGGTGAGCCCCAGAAGTCTGTTCAGAGATGCAGGGTGGCTGAGCCTGAGGTGGAAGCCCCTTTGCCTGTTCTGCACTTGTTTGCATAGCTGGCTTTCAGCAAAATGTATCTCCTCTTGATTCATGTTGAAACTGTTCAGCTTTAAATTGAGAGTTGGGCAGCCCCTTGGAGGCAAGCAGGTGGGCGGGCAGGCAGGCAGGCACTCTGGCCCTTGATAAGTTTCCTGTGATAGTTCTCTTGATATTTCTACAGAATGTCATGTTCTATGACATGGGCTCAGGCAGCACCGTGTGCACCATTGTGACTTACCAGACAGTGAAGACTAAGGAAGCCGGGATGCAACCTCAGCTGCAGATCCGGGGGGTGGGGTAAGTGGATGCCTGGGGAGGGTTTCTTATTAACATGGTTATGACAGGGTCGCTGCTGGGCAGCCCTGATCTAAATTCTATCGTCTGATAAGTGTGGAACACTGGTGGTACAAGCTGCCCATGGGACAGTCATACATGTACAGTCCCACTGATGTTTTAAGCTGGCGGGGACATGTTAAAGACCCTTAGGTGAGAGCTTTCTTTCTAGACTGGCAGCCTTTTCTTTCCTGCTGTGCCGCAGTGCTGTTCTGAATAAAGCATTAGTCTGTAGGGGACCACTCCAAAGAGTAGGGGGAAGCTAGAGAGAAAGGACAGTTTGGGGAAATTGAAAGGCAATTATTCTGAACTTACTCTGAGGAAATCTCTGAGCTTCTGAAGACATTTATGAGGTTACAGTCCATATGTAGAATGTCCTATTCAATCTGTTTTTTTCCTCTTTTTTTTTTTTTTTTTTTTTTCTTTTTTCTTTTTTGGTGGTACTGAGGATTCAGCCCAGGGCCTTCTCACTGAGCTGCATCCCCAGGCCTTATTTTTTATTTTGAAGCAGAGTCTTGTGAAATTACCAAGTTGTCCAGGAAGATTTGTAATCTACCTGTCTCAGCCTCCTGGAGCCTGTGCCACCATGCCTAGTTTGAAGGTTCTCTTTAAAATGCTAGCCTGAAGCTGAGGGAGGAGGATCATTGTGAGTTCGATGCCAGCCTGGGCTACAGAGTGAGCTCAAGGCCAGCCTGAACAAAAAGACCCTGTCTCAAAAAGACAAAACATGGATAAATAAAATAAAATGCTAGCCTGGCTGGGTGTGGTGGTGTGGTGCATGCTTGTCATCCCAGCACTCAGGAGGCTGAGGCAGGAGTATTGCCTCAAGTTCGAGGCCAGCCTGGACTATATAGTGAGTTCAAGGCCAGCCTGAAGTGCATAGCCAGATAATTGTTTCAATATAGGTAGGTAGATAAATGATAGATGATCTACGGGCTGGAGATGTAGCTCAGTGGTAGAGTGAGTTTTTTTAGCAGATATAAAGCCCTGGGTTCAATCCCTTAATGCCACATCAAAAATAAATAAATAATGCTGATTGGAGTGCAACCCATTTGTTTTGTTTTGTTTTGGTTTTTTTTTTTGGTACTGAAAATCAAACTCAGGACCCTGTGCTTGCCAGGCAGGCACTGTGTCGCTGAATTATTTCCCTGGCTGTAACCTATTTCTTTAAACCTTTCACTGTGCTGCTCTGAGTTCTGCCTCCCCTAGCTGTTTATAACCCCTAGTTCTTCTTGATCTTTGACACCTGTACACTTGCCTGCCCTTGGAGTTTGGCATGCTCTCTCCTGCCTTGGGGTCTTTACAGAAGCAGTTTCTTTCTAGAACATTCTTCCTTCTTCCCCTAATTCACTCCCATTCATCCCTCAGGTTTCAGTCCCAGCTTCACTTGTCTCAGGGAGGCTTTCCCAGACCCCTTGAGTAGCACAGCTCTCCCTGTGTGTTCTAATAGCCCTGTTTGTCGTTTAAGAGAAAAGTGCATCCATCGTTGGTGCTCAGAAATTACTGTTGAATGAGTGGGTGGATGAACTGTCCCAATTGAGACCAGAGTGTGTGTCCACACGGTGTGGGTAAACGGTCCTGGAAAGAAGGGCAGGATGCCATGCGGGGATGAGAGGCTCCTGTGCCAATGGAGAGACCCTGTTGCCCACACTTAACCTGTTCCCTTTCCTGAACAGGTTTGACCGCACCCTGGGGGGTCTAGAGATGGAGCTCCGGCTGCGGGAGCACCTGGCTGGGCTCTTCAATGAGCAGCGCAAGGGCCAGAGAGCCAAGGATGTGCGGGAGAACCCACGTGCCATGGCCAAGCTGCTGCGGGAGGCCAATCGGCTCAAAACCGTCCTGAGCGCCAACGCTGACCACATGGCCCAGGTACCCACACAGGGCTAGTAGAAGGCAAACTCCCCACTCCCAGGGGCAGAGGGGCTCTGCCATCTTCCCAGGCTTGTTCCCTTGGATTTCACCCTGCCTATCCACACAACACAGCAGGACCTCGGCAGAGCCCCCGCCACTCATCTTTATCTCCCCCCAGATCGAAGGCCTGATGGACGACATAGACTTCAAAGCAAAAGTGACTCGAGCGGAATTTGAGGAGTTGTGTGCAGACTTGTTTGAGCGGGTGCCTGGGCCTGTCCAGCAGGCCCTTCAGAGTGCGGAAATGAGCTTGGTGAGGGCACGGGGCAGCAGTGGTGCCCGGCAGGAGGTGCAGCAGGATACACATGGATGTCAACTGTCTCACCTGTCTTCCCCTTCTGCAGGACGAGATTGAGCAGGTGATCCTCGTGGGTGGGGCCACGCGTGTCCCCAAGGTTCAGGAGGTGCTGCTGAAGGCTGTGGGCAAGTGAGTATGGGCACTGGGCATGAGGCCTATGGGCTGAGCAGCTGGAGGGCATGGGCGGGAGCCTAGACTGGGTGCTCTTGGGTGGATGGGACTGATGTTTGGGACTCCTGTAGGGAGGAATTGGGCAAGAACATCAATGCAGATGAAGCAGCTGCGATGGGGGCTGTGTACCAGGCAGCTGCCCTCAGCAAAGCGTTCAAGGTGAAGCCATTCGTCATCCGAGATGCAGTGGTCTACCCCATCCTGGTGAGTAAGCCTGTCCCCCCAGCGGTAGCCGCTCCAACTGGCATCTTACCTTCTGCCCACTCCAACCTGGCCGTTTGTCTTTCCTCCCCATCCTGCGTTGGTTCTCCAGTGTGCTTTCTCCCTGCCTGCTATGTAGGTGGAATTCACGAGGGAAGTAGAGGAGGAGCCTGGCATCCGCAGCCTGAAGCACAATAAACGGGTTCTCTTCTCCCGCATGGGGCCCTACCCTCAACGCAAAGTCATCACGTTTAACCGCTACAGCCACGATTTCAACTTCCACATCAACTACGGTGACCTGGGCTTCCTGGGGCCTGAGGATCTTCGGTGAGGGGCGGGGGGACAGGATGGGAGCTCTGGGAGGGGGGAGGCACAGCTGGCGTATGACCTGAGGATTGGGGGAGGGGAGGAACTCTGTGTGGTTGAGTGGAAGCAGACTGCAGGGTTAGGGTTAGGAGTGAGAGCCTCTCTGGGGGTTTTTTGTTTTCATTGGTTGGTTGGTTTGTTGGTTGGTTGCTTTTTTTGAGACAGAATCTCACTGTGTAATTCATGCTGGCCTTGAACTCACTATGTAGCCAGGCAGGCCTCAAAGTCATGGCGTTCCTCCTGCCTCAGCTTTCTGAGTGCTGGAATAATAGGTGTGCGCCACCATGCCTGACTTGTGAGAGCCTTTCTGGACAGTGCTTCTGTCCTGACTGTGACCTTGGACAGGGCCCTGACATCTTGTGCCAGGAGGCTGTAGTCTGGTGCTGAAAGTGGGCTAGCTCAGTCTCCTCAAACTCCTCTTTTTCTCTCATCCAGGGTGTTTGGCTCTCAGAATCTGACCACAGTGAAGCTAAAAGGTGTGGGTGACAGTTTCAAGAAGTATCCCGACTACGAGTCCAAGGGCATTAAGGCGCACTTCAATCTGGATGAGAGCGGTGTGCTCAGTCTGGACAGGGTGAGAGCAGCAGGAGACCTGAGTGCAGGCCAGGGCCTGGGCTCTGCCAGCCTTTCCCACAGTGGGTTCTGCAGTGTAAACAGAGGTTGGGGGATCTGGTCAATCTTGGCTTCCTAACAGAGCTAACTAGAAAGCTGATGTAGGCTTCTTTGGGCTTATAAATGCTTATAGGTGCTGCAGCTTGGGTATTGAGAACTACAGAGTGGTTGAGAAGCCCGTTTTTTCTGGATTTAACATCTCCTAACATATACTCTGGAAAAAGATGGTCTGTAGTGTTATTCAGCAGATTCGTGGATGGCTCTAAAGGGAAAAAGGAGCTGTGCTCCTGTCCTCCACAGGTTGATAATCAGAGTAGGTGACCTTCCACAGTCCTTAAGAAAAGGCAGGAGAGCCAGTTGTGGTGGTGCATGCCTGTAATCCCAGCTCTTGGGAGGCTGAGGCAGGAGGATTGGGAGAGTTGGAGGTCAGCCTTGGCTACAAAATGAGTTCAAGGCCAGCCTGAACTTCATAGCAAAACCCTGACTCAAAAAAAAAAAAAGGAAGAGAGGGACTGGGCTAGCACAGCTGCAAGTCCCATAGTGCATAATCAGGCACCATGGCAGGCGTTGGCATGGCAGAGAAGTGGGGCTGTCCTGCTGCCTCAGTCTCCTGATGTGGGGGTTATAGGCGTGTGCCACCATGCCCGGCTGGCATGTGTCTTTCTTCATTTCGAACCTGTTTTCAGGTGGAGTCTGTATTTGAGACCCTGGTGGAAGACAGCCCAGAGGAGGAATCTACTCTCACCAGTAAGATGAGTGTGTGCACCTGTGCTTGGGTGTGGGCACGCGAGAGAACATGCTCGTGCACTTTTGGAGCGATGGACGGCATGACACTTGGGTCAGAAGGTCGAGTCCCTTTATGAATCTGCACTTGTTTTCCCTCTAGAGCTTGGCAATACCATTTCCAGCCTGTTTGGCGGTGGTGCCACGGCAGACACCAAAGAGAACGGGACGGATGCTGTTCAGGTGAGTGAGCTCATGGTGGAACCGGGGGTACGCGGAGAGCAGCATGGGCAGGGCGTGGCAGTAGAGGGAGGGGTCCAGTGGGCAGCCCTGCTGACACTCACGGACCGCTCCTTTGCCTTGGCCTGTGCTGCATTAACCACGCCTACCACACTCGCTTCTGGACTGGGACCGTTCCCTGTGCCGGAGCCCGAGGCCTTTCCCCTGGTTTGTATGTCCCTCAGCTGCCCGAGGCTCCCCACAGCTGTGTCCTGAGCAGTGACGCCCTTGAGAGCAGAGGAGCTGGCGTAGCTGAGGCTTGGCCTGGCCCCCAGCTCTGCTACTGAGCATCATCCAGGGGGCCTTGATTGTTCTCCAGGAGGAAGAGGAGGGCCCCACTGAGGGGGGCAGGGACGAGCCTGGGGAGCAGGTGGAGCTCAAGGAGGAAGCTGAGGCCCCAGTGGAGGGAACCGCTCAGCCCCCACCCATGGAGGCCAAGGGAGACGCAGCTCCTGAGGGGGAAAAGCCCCCCGAAAAGGAAAATGGGGACAAGTCTGAGGCCCAGGTGAGCTGTGGGGAGAGGGAGGCCAGTGGGCTCAGGGGCTAAGGTGGGCATGGAGGCCTGCTTCATTCTTACTTCTGTGGAGAAGGCCAAGGCCCTTCCTGATCTTCTGATTCTTCCCACCCAGAAGCCCAGTGAGAAGGGGGAGTCGGGGCCTAAAGGTGCCCCTCCATCCCCTGAGGAAGAAAAAAAGCAGAAGCCTGCCCGGAAACAGAGGATGGTGGAGGAGATCGGCGTGGAGCTGGTTGTTCTGGACCTGCCTGACTTGCCAGAGGACGAGCTGGCTCGTTCAGTACAGAAGTAAGGAGAGAGAGTGTGAGGGCATGGGCTGCACCTTGGCAAGCTCTGCATCCTGACCCGCCCTCTCCTCATCCTCGCCTCTCCTTCCTCCCGCAGACTTGAGGACTGGACCCTCCGAGACCTTGAGAAACAGGAACGGGAGAAAGCTGCCAATAGCTTGGAAGCTTTCATCTTTGAAACCCAGGTTGGCAGGCTGGAGCAGCACCTTCTGGCCCTGGGACTCGGGTTTGAGAGTGTGTGCTGAGCTCTGCCCTGGGCCTACTGCAAGTGTGCATTTGTACTCTCCATAACGCACAGGACAAGCTGTACCAGCCTGAGTATGAGGAAGTGTCCACAGAGAAAGAGCGCGAAGAGATTGCTGGGAAACTCAGCGCTGCATCCACCTGGCTGGAGGATGAAGGGTTTGCAGCCACCACTGTGGTGAGGCGCTTTCCGGGACGTGATGGGTAGGACGTGAGTGCTTGCCCGCTTTGTCCAGGTTTAGAGAGGGAAGAGCTATGGTGTGAGGCCATAAGTATTTCAGGGATGGGGTGTAGCTCAGTAATAGAGAACTTGCCTAGCATGCATGAGGCCCTGGATTAATCCCCAGCACTGCCAAAAAAAAAGATACAGGCAGGTGCAGTGGTGTGCATCATAGTTCCAGCTACTCAGTAAGCCGGAATGAGAAGATCACTTGAGTATAGAAGGTGAGGCCAGCCTGAGCAACATAGACCATCTCAGGAGAAAATGGGGATGGGCTGTGTGGGGATACAGTTCAATACAGAGCTTATCTAACATGAGAATCCCTGGGTTTGATCCTCAGCACCTAGCCAGATACAGGGAGCATGCCTATAAACCCGGCACTTGGAAGGCTGAGGCGGGAGGGTTGCTGTGAGTTCAAGGCCAGCCTAAACTGCATAGTGAGACCCTGTCTCAAAAAAAAAAATCCCCCACACCAAAAATAAAATGAAGGGCTGACTCCTCAGGGTTCTCCTACCATCCCTTCCACCCCCCTGCTCATCCCCGTGTCTGCAGATGTTGAAGGAGAAGCTGGCTGAGCTGAGGAAGCTGTGTCTGGGACTGTTTTTTCGGGTGGAAGAGCGCAAGAAGTGGCCTGAGCGGTTGTCTGCCCTTGACAGTCTCCTCAACCATTCCAGCATATTCCTCAAGTGAGTGGCCTGAGCCCTTTCTTCTCCGTCCAGTCCTGCCATGGCCGCAACTGCCCATTGTCCCTCCTCAGGTACCTCTGCTTCCCAGACTGATCCCCTCTCTGGCTTTCAGGGGTGCCCGACTTCTCCCAGAGATGGACCAGATCTTCACTGAGGTGGAGATGACAACGTTAGAGAAAGTCATCAATGAGACCTGGGTAATCAGTTTGGGAGTGTGTGACCAGACACTTAGCGGGCACCATGGGGCCAGGCCAGGGCTGTGGGAAGAGACTGAGGCTAGTGTGATCTCCTCTGGGACAGACACCTGCTTTTTCCAGGACTCTCTCTGAGTCTGTTCTGGCCTCCCCCACAGGCCTGGAAGAATGCAACCGTGGCCGAGCAGGCCAAGCTTCCTGCCACAGAGAAGCCCGTGTTGCTCTCAAAAGACATCGAGGCTAAGATGATGGCACTAGACCGTGAGGTGCAGTATCTGCTCAATAAGGCCAAGTTTGCCAAGCCTCGGCCCAGGCCCAAGGACAAGAATGGTACCCGGACAGAGCCTCCCCTCAATGCCAGCGCAAGTGACCAGGAGGAGAAGGTCATCCCTCCAGCAGGTGAGGGCAGGGTGCTCGGCCACAGGTGCTAGCGGGCAGAGAGAAGCCCGCCTTTCCCTCCTGGGGCGACATCTTACTCCTGGCTTCCCTCCAGGCCAGGCTGAAGATGCAAAGCCCATTTCAGAGCCCGAGAAGGCAGAGACTGGTGAGTTGGGGAGAGCAGGGCTGGGAGTGGGGACGTTGTGTCAGCCTAGGCAGGGGTCCACATATTGGCAGGCACGTAGGCCTGTTCCTGGATGGGCCTTGAAGTCTGGGTGGCCATGACTTTTAAAAATTTGGGGAGGAGGGGCTGGGGATTTAGCTCAGCGGCAAAAGCGCCTGCCTGGCAAGCGCAAGGTCGTGAGTTCGGTTCCCGGTACCGGCTGAGCAGCACAAGTGCCTGCCTGGCAAGTGCAAGGTCCTGAGTTCAATTCCCAGTGCAAAAAAATAAAAATAAAAAATTTTTAAATTAGGCAGACAGACCCACTGTGTCCACACATTCTAAAATACTGCGTTAGCTGGCTCTCCACAGAAACAGTTTGCCACTCCTCCATTAATCTGCAGAGACTAAACTACTCCTTCCAAACTGCAGGGTCTGAACCAGTAGACACCGAACCCCTGGAGTTAGGAGGGCCTGGAGCAGGTGAGGATGGGGCAGGGGGTGCTGGGCAGCCCTGGGCCTGGCGGGAAAATACCTGCAGAGAGCCGGGGCGGCTTATTGCTGACCTGGTGTCCCCGACTCCCAACAGAACCTGAGCAGGCACAGCAGCCAGCAGGACAGAAGCGGCCTTTGAAGAACGATGAGCTATAATGTCACCTCCATCTCCCCTCGTCCCAGCCCCTTCTCCTGCCACCTCTATTTATTACACGTCGGGGTGGGGGCTTGAGTTCTTCCCTCACTGGGAACAGCGCGTGGCAAGGGGGCAGGTGGGCGCCACTCACCAGATTCTTCTGGAATAGCCCTGTGGTTAAAATCTGAATTTGTCTGGCCCCCATCCCACCCTTACTCCCAGGCTCTTTACCTGTCCGGCCCTGCGTTGGGGAAAAATCACTAATATGTCTTAATTCCTTGCCGTGGGTAGGTGAGAGAATGGCCGCGGGGCTAGTGGAGACCTGGGAGTGGAAGGGGGTCCGGGTCACAGAACAGCGTCCTTCCTCCCCTCCTTTCCTTTCCTGCCACGCAGTGGTGTCTGCTTTGGGCTAGGGCTGCAGAGCCTCGGTCACCAGGCTTTGTTTCCGAGTGCCCATCTCTGCTCTTTCCTCCCTGCAAAGTGTTCTCTTTCCCTGGCCCCCACTCCCCCCGGCCTCCTCTTCACTCGCATCCTTGGCATCCTGGCACATGTTGGGTTCCTCTTTCCTGCTTGCCCAAAGCCTTCCCTGTGGCTGGCCGGGGTCAGTTTGAAGTGTTCCCACAGCACATGAGCCTGGCGGCCAGAGCAGGCTGGGATGGGGTCAGCAGGAAGCCGCTGCTGTCCAGGGAGGAGGCTGTGTGAGAGCCCCAGAACGCCATCTGTGGGCACCTGGCCCAAGAAAGCCCGTAGAATGCTGGGCGTGGATGTAGCGTCCTGTATATACTCATGGCCCTTCCCAGAGCCTGGTTCTCCAGGTGGCTGTGAGTTACTGTCCCCTCCTGTCCTGTCACTCCCTGATGCCCCCCCTCCCCCAGGCTGACCAAAATGTGCTTTCTACTGTGAGCCCCTATCCCAAGACCCCTGGGGGATGGAGAGACCATGGTGTGAGTGTAAAAATGCCACTGGTGGGCTTCGGGGTACAGGAGGAGGGGCAGGGCTGGCCTGCCTTCTGTGCATTGCTCTGCTAGAACTGGGGGGTCCCTTACCCACTCTGCCAAGGCCTAGGGAGCCTGTCCTCCAGTGTCCCATCTGTCGTGGCAGCTGGGGCTGACTCTCAGCTCCAGGACAAGGCAAACCTGGTTGTCAGTCCCCACCCTACCCCATCTCCTTACCCCCTCACATTGGCAGTGAGGGACCTAAGTCCCACCTCTCCCCCTCCCATTGTTTGAGTTCCGTCATTAGCAATTGAAGCTGGATGGACAGGTTTAAATCAAATTGTACTTTGCTCCATTGTTAATTGAGAAACTGTTTCAATAAAATATTCTTTTCTACAATTTTTGTGCTTTGACTTCTTAAAGGATATTTTCTGAACATCATCATGTTTGCTTTTTTGGTTTTTTTTTTTTTCTTTTTTTTTTTTTGGTCTTTTGAGACAGGGTTTCACTATGGCGTGAGCTTGGTTTGTAACCCAGTCTGGTCTCGAACTCACAACTATCCTCCTGCTTCAGCCTCCTGAGTGCTGGGGTTATAGTCATGTGCCACCACACCCAGCCCATCAGCATGTCCAGTATAGAAGATTGGGTAGAAGTTTGTATGATACCACTGGGTGTGGTAGCTCACGCCTGTGATCCCAGCACTGGGGGGCTGAGGCAGGACGATTGTGAGTTTGAGGCCATGCTGCGCTACAAAGCGAGACCCTTTCTCTGAAAAAGTTTATAATAAAATTATCTCTATGCTGCCACCAAAAGATTATTCATTTTTTTCCATAGAAACAAAATCTAAAAAAAAGAAATCTTGGCTCTCTTTTTACCTTAACACTGTTTGTATCCCAGGCTGTTTCTTTCAACTTTGTTTTGTTTTTGTTTTTGTTTTTTTTTTTGTCTTTTTGAGATGGTCTCGATATGCAGTTCATGCCGGCCTTGAGCTAACTTTGTAGCCCAGGCTGGTCTCAAATTCAAAGTAATCCTTCTGCGTCAGCCTCCCGGGTGCTGGGATTACAGGTGGGTGCCAGCTCACCCGACCTGTTTGTTTTGTTTTGTTTTGTTTTTTCACTTCACTTTGAGAGGAGGGCCACGCTGGCCCTGAATCCTAGGACTCGGCAGTCTTCCGTCAGCCTCCTGAAGAGCTGGGACTGCAGGTGTGAACCACCCTGCCTAGCCTGGAATGTCCATGTTTAAGGCAACAGCCCCATTTTACAAATAAATTGGTAATTAAGAGAGGTTCAGTAAGTGGCCCTGGAAATCAGTGGTAATTTGAAATTCTTACCCATTACCCTTCACTCTTCCCACTCTGCCACAAGAATGTTACAGATTAAGCATCTGAAGCACATTTGACTTGGGTGGCTCATTAGCAGGGATGGAGCCATGTTTTACCAAAGGAAGGCATCTTGTCACTAGCCATCTACATGTCCAAGGAGTTGAATATATAATGACCATAAAGGTTAATTTTTTTCCTGAAGGTCGAACAGGTTAAACAAGTTTTGAACCTTACAGGTTTTTTTTAGTCTTTTTTGAGACAGTGTTTCTCTATGCAGTCCAAATTTGCCTTGAATTCACTTTGTAGCCCAGGCTGGCCTCAAACTCACAGCAGTCCTCCTGCTTCAGTCTCCGAGTACTGGAATTACAGGCATGGGCTAACATGCCTGGCAGGATCTTTTTTTATAGTCAATCTTTAGTTTTGGATATAGCATAATTGAGCAGTAAATACAGGGCTTGCTTGCCCACAGATGCGTCTCCCCTAAAGAGTACATTCATTGTCACCAGCGAAGCCATACTTCGTTGTTACCCAGAATTCTGTGTGATACTGTAGTGGATGGTGAGGTGAGGAAACACCAAAACCCGTAGGACAAACAACACAAAGACTGAACTCGGGTGTAAACTGCAGGCTGGGTGATAATGTGTCAGCGTAGGCTCATTGACTGATGGTGTGAGATGGCAGTGGAAGGTTGTGCATGTGTGGAGGCAGCTGGTATATGGGAACTGTATGTTGTGCTCAATTTTGCCATGAACCTAAAACTGCTTTTTTTTAAAAAAAAAAAAAAAAAGCATTTTGTAGAGTATGGTAGCACATACTTGTTACTTGTAGTCCCACCTACTTGGCAAGTGGAGTCAGAGGGTCACTTGAGCCTAGGAATTAAGAACCAACCTGAGGGAGGCTGGGGATTTAGCTCAGCGGCAAAGCGCCTGCCTGGCAAGTGCAAGGTCGTGAGTTCGGTTCCCGGTACCGGAGAAAAACCAAAAAAATAAAAAAATAAAAAAATAAAAAAAGAACCAACCTGAGGGCTGGGGATATAGCTCAGTGGCATAAGTGCCTGCCTAGCAAGCACAAGGTCCTGAGTTCTATTCCCAGTACCAAAAAGAAGAAAAAAAAAAAAAAAAAAGAACCAACCTGGGCAACATTGAAAAAATCCTCACGAATGTGTGTGTTTCTATGTGTACATAGCATTTTAATCACATACACCATGCCAAAACTTAGGAAATCCAATTAAAACAGTGCCAAAAACAAAACAAAACACAGTGCCAACAGGAAAATTATAGCAACAAATGCCTACATTTAAAAAGAAATAGCTGCTGGCTATGGTGGCACACACCTGTAATCCCAGCACTTGGGAGGCTGAGGCAGGAGGATCACTGTGAGTTGAGACCAGCCTGGGCTACAAAGTGAGCTCAAGGC